CCCCCTTCAAGGAAGCAGCAACCCTGCAATTTAGAGCTGGCGCAGAGCTGGCACATTCCTCGCCGGGGCGCGCCGAGAGCCTTCGGACAGGTGCCGAGCCTGGGTGCGCTTCACTTAATACCTTGCAACAAGTCATGGTGCACGGGAGCCCCGGCTGCTGCTCGCTGTGCAGGGAAGAGAAGGCCATAAACTTTGGCACTAAAAATAGGAGCAGCGGGACAGAGTTAGTGCAAAACACAGCAAACGGCCATGGTGCAATGCTGGACACGGCACGTCTGGGGGCAGCTGCAAGGGGACGGGCTGGTGCAGCCAGCACGACGGCGCCAGCTCGTGCAGCAAACCTCATCCAGCTGCTCAGATTGGTCAGAGGAAAAAAATAATGGGGGAAATTTGGGGAGAAATGGGTTAGTGGTGTTTTATTTTTGATACATTCCAAGAAAACTGTAACTGGAGGGGATTTTCTGCAGTCTCCTGATGTTGCCACAGCCCTTTTTTTTTTTTTTTTTTTTTTTGTAGATTTTTGCTTCAGCATGAGCAGAATGACAGTGTGGGCAGCTAATCAAAAGGTGAAATTGGTTTGTCCTTCATCGCTGCAGCAAAGGCAGCCGATGAGGTAAATCATCGGCATCGCCACTGGCAGCGGAGCTAATGCTAATAATTCCGACTGGGTGAAAGTGATATAAACAACATGGCGAATTTTTCTGTAAAATACACTTATTTTAAGCTAAAATGATCCTGCAGAGCTTCAGGATAAGCCTTTGCAAAGACAGGGTGGTAGCACCATCTCCTGCCTCTGCACAGGCTGCAGGGTCTGTCCTGTTGGGACATGCAGGTGCCTGGACATGTCCCCTGAGCTCGGCAGCCACCCTCAAGCCTCTCTCATTGCTTCATCCCTGGTTTGGTAGCCAACCTCCCAAATACTGTCCTCATGCTGGCAGATGCCATCTGGGTGCCTCGCCACACCCCAATGCCTCGCATCCAGTCCAGCATCCAAAATACTGGGGAGGCCATAGTTGCTCTTAGTTCTGACCCTGGAAACTTGCACCACGTTGGGCAGGGGAAGGCTCCTTCTCACTGAGGGAGCTCCCTGAGACATCCGCCATTTTGTGAATACCACCATTTTGTAGGGACCGCCATTTTCCGTCAACAATAATGGGGAACAGGTCGGAATGGTTCTAGAAGGTTTCCTGGGGAACAGCCACTGAGGCCTGGGCCATCCTGCCACCCCAACAGCATCCTTCAGCCCCAGGGGAAGAAAACACAGGGCAGAGCGAGGCCGCACCGTGGCAGGAGCCATAGGGAGAGCATTGGGTTCCCTGTGGCAGAGGCTCCCATCCCAAGCATTGCCCGGTAAGGCCCTCATAAATGCACTAACTACATTTGCTCCACATCTCAAGCAGGCAAAAAACACAGTGCTTCAGCCTCTGAAAAGTGCTACCTGATTAAAACATACAAAAAGAGAGAGAGAGATAAAGCCGCCTATTGCTCACAGAATCAAATGAAATTAATTCTGCTCAGCCTCCCTCATCTTTCCTTACTGCAGACTCAGATAATAAGATCACTCACAATATAAATATCTAATTTCAGGTGTATTAAGCCTAACACATTACTTAGAACAGTAGGAGAGCTCTGGCCAATACAGATAGTGTGATCTGTGGCACCAATGCTGCCTTAGCCATAACTGCTGCTTACACGATCCAGTGTCCTACACACTTTATCAGACAAGCCAAACAGCAGCATTTCACCAAGGGACAGGTCATGATGAGTGAAAAGATTAAGCACAAATGCTGGTAGGAGAAAGAAATGCAGACAGGCAACAGCTAGGTTTCTGAACAACCCAATATTGCCCTGTTGTCTCTGAGCGGTCCCAGGTTATATCCTCTCTGTTCACTTGTCTCAAACAGTAAGAGGTAAGGACCTGGCAATGCTGAGCATCTTTCTCCTATTTACTTTACAGCCAAACAGCTGTAAAGGTGTTAAGCACCTCATGTTTGGGTCAGATTCATTCATCTTCAGTGGCTCCTCAGACAAAAACGCCAGATTGTGGACCACAGATGGGAAATTTGTGGGAAATTTTAGTCAAGAAAAGAGATGGGACTTGAAGAACCCTTCAGCATTCACCCATGCTGGGTAAGTACCCAATCTTTGACATGCCACTTGAAGTTACCTCTCGGGCAAACACTTTGCACAGTCCTCCTTCTGCATGTGACCAGCCTCGTCTGAATTTAGTGCCGACCCTACTCTGAGCAAAAAGGAAGGACTGGATCTCCTGAGGTCCCTGCTCGTGTGCATTATTCTGTGGATTAATAAGATAGCCCAGGTGCTGGTGGCTGTGCAGTCACAACAGAACAACAGCCCTACAGGACTTCTGAGGGCCCAAGACAGCCACCAAGGGTTAACATGCAAAATCTCCTGCATAAAACAAGCTATTCAATGAGCACCTCTCCCCAGGTAACAACCAGTAATGAGAATATGCTCTGCTATGGTAATGCTTGTAATGTAATAGCCCACCAAGGAGAGAGCTGGTAGGTGAAGTGAGAAAAATCCTCTTTCCGCAGCTGGATCACAGTTTCAGGCAAGCTCATCTGCATTAATCTTACTCTAATTGAAATCAATTGTTTTGTCTCTAATTCAACTGATACTGCCAAGCTCAAGAATTAAAAATTCATGAGGCAATGTCCCTCAAAAAAAAAAAAAGTAAGATCATCTAAAACAGCATAGATTTTTAAAATAATCATTAAAAAGTCTAGTTGTTACTCTAGGCTTGAAGCTTTCAGTTCACATTTTCATGAGGGATAGGAAAATGGATTTTTTCATATATATATATATATATATATGTATATACAATCTTGCAGCTCCAGAGGCTGGTGTTTCCAGGAGGTAGCCTCACAAATGGCATCATTTATCATAAAAAATATTTTTATTTTTTAAAAAAAAAAAAGGAGTGAGCAACACTGCCTCTTTGGGAGCAAACTCACTTGGCTCCTTTCACGCTGCCTCAAAACTAGTGCCATTGCTACAGTGCCTGGCAAATAATCCACCACCCTGACCCTAGGGCACACTGTCCCCTGGGTTGTAGTGAAGTCAATGGCCTAGAAACAGTCAGCAGTATTTTTCCCAGCCTTGCTCCAGGCTGGAATGGCTCTTGGCAGGCTGCTGGCCCCTCTGGAGCTATGAGAGCAGAATTAGACCCCTAGCAGAGACACAGAGCATGAGGTCCAGTGTCAAACCAGCCAAGGGCAGCAATGAGTGACAGGCTGGGCTGTGGGAAAAGCTAAAGCAGAACTTTCAAACGGATCAGGCCTTGGTTGGCATGCAGGATCCCCAGGACCTCTCTGCCATCTTTGTGCCTCTTGCTCACCTTGTTCAGATTCCCAAGACCCATGCAGTTATTTTCACCCTTGAAGGAGTGAAAATACAATAAGCAACAAGAATTTTGTCTCTGATGAACTCTTCTCCAAGAGTTGACACACTTGTGCCTGCAGAGCAGCACCCAGGAGGAACATGCAAGTTAACAGCACAAGTAAATAACTACTCTTTAATTGTGTATGTGTGAGCAACAAACCAGACATGATTTCTAAAATGCTTCTAATTAAGGTCACTGATGACAATAGCTAGAGAGCTGAGACAAAGACAATAAACACCACTTATGTGAAGCAGATGGGAACTCTGAGAGGACCATCCAATATTTTGAAAATGGTCTGGGATTTTTTTCAATAGCCAGAACTGTAAACAATGTTTTACAGAGTGCTAGAGACATCCTAGTCCGTGCAAACACTCAAGGTCTCCAATTGCCTTCGCTGGCCGAGGTTGGAGCTATGCTGTCTGTGTCTCTTTTCACAAATGCTGCTGTATTCTGTCAGAAAGAGGCAGCATCTTTGCAAAGTAAAATTAAGCTATAAAAAAGAGGAAGCCAGACCAGCACAAAATCAACCCTGTGAAAAGGTTAGATGCAAGCAGAATTTGTTTCCTGAAGCAGTAGGAAGGTGAAAGAGATCAGCGGTTAGTGAGCATTACTTAGTGTCACTACAATTACTTTTAGAAGACATTCATTTCCCTCAGTGTTTTTGTACTACAATTACTTTTAGAAGACATTCATTTCCTTCAGTGTTTTTGATAAATATCCATTACCTTTTGAGGTTATAAATCAAATATTAATTAACCTGCTGGAAAAAAAAGCTACAGATATTAATGTTTTACAAGGAATCTTGCAGCTGAGAAAAAAAGGGAAGACAGTGAATCGGCAATTTTCAAAAAAAGGCCTTATTCCGTTTGAAAGAAGCAATGAGCAAAGAATATACCCACTAGACACTCTTACTGGGAACATAAGTCTGTGGTTTGGTAGCATGAAAAGCAAACTGATCTTGGCCTCTCTCTAGAACTTTGGTGTGCAGAAGAGCTTTGAGTTAAAAATTAATCAGCATTTTTTTCAGCTGGCAGCTATGGCACTCACACCTCTTGTAACTGTCACCTCTGATCCAGGCAGAACCATATGGTGTCTGAGCAAAGGTCTCCACAAATGTAGAAACGTTTTCCCCAGGAAACCAGCACACATCCTGGCAGGGTACTAGCAGAATGAAGCAGTTATTGCTTTCACAGACACGGATGCTGCGACTGTTCTTTTCTTCCAAGTTGCCTCTCACATGTTAAAACCACAAGCCAGACACTTCTTTTAGCACAAGCAATAAAACTCCAGGGCGACCTTCAGGAAATTAGCAGAATAGCCAGAGGATGCTCTGGCTACCACACACTCACGTAAACGAGAGCAGATCTTGGCTCTCA